AGTGTTTCACAGTCGTTTGCTAATTGCGAAGACAAGACAGTCAAAAAATATTGGATAAAAATTAAGCTCCAATGAACGGGAGATCTTTCTGGGACCTTTTCTAATGGCATTGTGGAAAACCACTTTGTACTTCAGAATGTATCTGAAGTACTATGAGCAAAGCTGAAGGCTCCCCAGTCCCAACACAACAGTAAAGCTCTTTATGAAAGAGTTCATCCAGAGAAGTACTGTCATCATACCTATTTCTGCCGCCAAGCAGTAATGTGGTAATTATTGCTTGCAACGGGTTTTGAACGGTTCGGGTGCTAGAGAAACCCGTGTACTAGACTTGTCGACTTTAATTTTTAAGTTTACTGAATATCATGATATTTTACTACCATGATATTCAATTATTATTTGTCAATTTACTCCACTAGTCAGTTATAATTATTAATACAAAGATCGAACACTAAGAAAAATTCCATTGATCGGACTGGATTCCAATCAACGTCTTTCAGCAATCCGTGCTAGACTCTCTGCCAATTAAGCCACGGAATGAACCAGCAGACATTATGATTTTTTTCTATATGCTTGTTTCAGATCTATGTTTTTGGTTTTTAACGACTTTTTACCGTAGCGCCATCTGTGAGTAGGTTATTTTGTTGTCCATTTTTTTGTGACCCTTAAATGCTATTAGTTGACAAGACCAAGCTAACTGTGGGTGACCTCTACTGATAGCCATTGATCTGCACACAAGAAAAACCTTTATCGCTTTGATTTTGCTGATAGTACATGAAAATTATCTTTCTTACACAACCATAATAATTGTAAAATTATATACTTGCATTGCTTTTTATTGTGCACACGTTAAAATATTAATACAACAATTATCTTTACGTATATTATATTAATGCGGCTGTACATAATATTTACTTATTCCCTCTCTGAAGCATTGACATGAAAAATATCACGTAGTCATTCAAAATGTAAGACGTTAAATAAGTTCGACAAAAAGTTCGAAAACTTTATATATTAATATAATATTCCTAAATTATAAGTCACGGTAAATTCTGTTGGGAGCAAAATAATAAATTATGTCTAAGAACGTTATAATTAACCTGTCATTCTGATAATATATTTATGAACCCTAGAGAATGCTGTTGGGTACACAGTGTCGTAAATATTTACTTCTTACTGAGTATACCTACATATAAACTGAAATGTTAGACGAAGTATTGTAATAATATATTTACAAAATGAACTTGCCTAAGTTTAAGCAAAGTAAAATCAAAGTTTCATGTATTTTCTTGTTTAAATATAGGCAAAGTTGATTTTGTTACGAAAAGTCTGCACATTACATTATTATTGTAATATATCACAATGTAATAACAATAAGCCAGTACTAAAAAAAATTTTCAACATCACATCATGGCCACTGAATCGTCTTGCTTGCCTTCGTGCTTATAACCTCGTATAACACCTTCGACTTTTGTTGCCTTCAACCAATAAATAAGGCACAAAAGTGCATGGCAAATGTGAACATAGTTAAGACTAAAAACCAGAAATATTAGTTACCATCACGAAAAAAACCACTAAACGCTCTGTTTTCCACGTGCTTTCATTTTGAGACTTTCTACACTTAAAATTCTATTTGCAGAATGGCCATGTTGGCTCACTTGCTAAGCACCTAATTACTGGTGTACAATATACCATTTGAACCGCGACCGCGTATAACTACGTTATGTTGGTACTGTATAAGTTCTCGGTTACCTGAATCCTACCTATGAAACAAGTAAGTTTATTAAGGCCAAGCATACTTTGGAATTATTATTTTTGTAACTGGGTAATATTCAGGTCAGTTTTCTTCATCTAATTTTGGTGGCAATTTTTATTGTCTGAGTTTTCTAGAATAGGTATTATCATGAAGTACTATTTAACATTCGAGTGTAGTATCCTGAAATATTATTTAATATTTCACGTTAACATACTCGGATACTTATATAGTGCTTCACTCATATCGGGCTTACTGAAAACCAGCGCACAGTATTTTCCGTCTGTAGCTGACACGTTTTATTTTTATTGTAACTTTGACTTGTGTGTAGTTAGTGCATTTATATGCATTACTTTTTTGTGTTTATATTTGTTGTGTTGTAGTTTTAAGTTTATAATATTATATTGCACATTAATTTTAAGCTCAAGTGTCTAGGCGATAATGCAATAAATCTTTCTAAATGATAACAAATTTCCACCAAAATTATATTCTTATTCTAAATAATAAAAATTGCCACCAAAATTAGGTAAAGAAAACTGATCTGAAAATACCCAATCAATAGAGTGTTTTCGTTAATACTCGACGTAACTGTTTGATGACCATTTCAATTAGCCGGGCTCACGGGACTGGTACAAAGCCCGAAACGATGGTTTGTTTCAATCAAATCAAAAAATCAAAATCAAATATATGTGTGATTTAGGATCCAAAAAAAATATTTCCAACGTGTCTTGGAAGTTTTGCACTGTTTCACAAGTTAATCTTGTACATTAATATGTATCAAAAGAGAAAACGTATGTTTTATTTACTAGTCAGTTCGTTTGATGTTATCTGTGCGTAGTGTTTCATCATACAAAAATATCCATAAAAAAAAATCTAAAATTATTTTATCACGATGTTTTGCTACTATGCTAGGGAATTTATCCACTTTTCTAGTCATATTTATCACATTCCATATAATTAATTATACAGAATAAAGTTTTTTTGCGACAAATTGGATTTTTAATTTTTATTGAATTGATATTCAATTTTTCTTTTGTGAACTTACTCCACTAGTTCGTTATAATTATTACTAGAAAGATCGAACACTCAGAAAAAATCCAGAAACCACGAACCAGCGGACCTCACGAATTTGCTTGTTCGCGAAGTTGCTTTTCTATATCTTTGTATTTGGTTTTTTAACGACTTTTTAGTCGTAGCGCCATCTATGAGAAATCTATGAAAGTTTTATCACCCAGTTAGATACCTTTACAGCTACCGGCCCTGGCGAGATATATCGCTATTCACTGTATTTTAAATTTTTATTGAATTAATATTAAATTATTTTTTGCGAAATTACTCCACTAGTTTGTTATAATTATTAATACAATGAACGAACACTAAGGAAAATTCCTTCGATCCGGCTAATCCAGGTGGATCCCAAATGAGCTACTATTACTACTTGGAAGAAAGTCAGGCACAGTGTGCTGAAGACGCTGGTTCGAATCCAGCCGGTTCGTCGGAATTTCTGTTAGTGTTCTATCTTTGTGTTGATAATAATTTTTCTTCATATTTTTCCAATTTTTCTCCTGTAATTTTTTAAAATATTTTAATAATTTTGAACCACTTGAAATTATCATACACTATCTGTGAATGTTACATACATTATGTCAAACCGTAATGTATGATGATAAGCTGAAGTGGACAATAACATTGACGTTGCATTCGGCTTTGCTCTTGTGAACTTGTAACAAATATGAGACAAAAAACGTAATAATAATACCGCCTATCCCATTTAAAAATTCAAAATTATTTTTTTTAGGTCATGGGAGAAGCGAGTGTCTCTAATGGATATTGAAAACAATAATGTGTGTTTATCTACAAAATACAAATAGTGTGAGTGATTTTAGGACATATCACTAGTAAATTATTGTAAAAATATGTAAGTGCTTTTAAAGAAAATTTTATTGAAAGTTCTATTGCTAATTCTATGACAAGTTTACGATTTTGTGAATTGGAATATAAATCTATTAATTTTAGTAATACCATCAGCAAGGCAACACGATTAGACAGTGAAAATAAGTCAACGTATTGTTGTTGTTGACTGAAGTTTTATTGTATAATGTCATTATTGTATCTCGTTCTTATAATATTACATTATTGTTGGTAGGTAAATGATTATAGGCAAGGCAGAAAGGTGTGACTGTAATCAATTTAGTGGTCGTGGTCATTCAATTTTTGAATTATGGTTCACCTAACAAAAATGTGTGTATTTTGCGTGGAGAGATCCGTTTTCTTTGTCTATTTGTAAGTGAATGTAGTTTAGTTCCGAAAGTAGTTTGTTGTTTTGAGTAGGTACCATGGCCCGCCGAAATGTGGACGCTCCTTTCTATTATACCTTGTATACACATTGTATCAACTCTTATCAAACTGCTTAATTGTCAATAGCGGCGTAAAGCAAATTTAATAACCATTCTCTCTTATCTATATCTTTTTGTAAACCTTATCTTTCACACGATTTTACATGTCATCAGTCATTTGTCAAGGACGCATAATTCAACAAATCTTTAGATTCAAAACATTATCGAGCTTAATAATTGTTTAATGATTTACTACATCGAGAATCTTTTGCAAGGATTTTATACAAATAAATAATATTATTTCACGGCTTATAAATTTCATCTAAAAAGTAATTTGTTATTTGTATATAATAACATAAACTGAAGCGGAAGCATAAATGATTAAAGTAATAAAAAATATCACCGGCAAACGTTGCTAATCGAACGGTATCAACAACGGAAGATCTGGAAACACACCTGTCAATTGGTTGCATTACTCTGAGACGTTACCCATGTGCGTCGGAAATTGCCGAGCCCTCCCGAATGGGGACGAACACGAACGTAAATATAGTCTCGACTCTGGAGACGGGCTGTGTTCACACGAAAAAAATCGCCCTTAAAACACGCACGTTTATTCTTTGGTAACAAACTAGTACAAAGTTGTATATAATGATCCGTTATATCCTTAATTACACTTAAATGTAGAAAAACACAGGCCTTGACAAAAATGGTGCGAATATTTCTACAATTTAATTGAAACCAACGCAACTTTACGCAGCAGCCGTGACTTATCTTAGAAATTGCAAAGTTATGTAAATTAACTAATAGAAAACAAATGTGTTAAATTACAATTCGATGACTAAAACACTAATTGCACGTATCGGAATAGTCAATTTGGTTGTTTATTGAGGAAGTCATGATTGGTTGTTCCGTACCTGTTCCCCACCAATATCGCTTCCAGCCGTCCGTCACTGCGCGAAACATAGCGTTACGTGCGACGCCGACCACGCGTACCGGCTGACTGACTCACGATGGACTGTACTATAAGGTCTTTGTACGTTCTGATTTTCGAATTTTGAATTTTTCCGAACCAAATTCAAGCAATGGAAATATAGCTTTACTTCCTATTACTTTGCGAGAAAGTGCATGCATATTTTTGCGGTGTGGAGTAATAAGGGTGGGTATTTTACTTAGCAACCGACAATGGGCTCTTTCTCGTGCCCTGATTCAATTAATCTCTAATTAGAGACGAGAGTGCTCTTAATGTAGAGTAGAGGCGGATTTGATATCGCAGCCTGTCACTAAACTAAATGGAAATCTGACGGCACGATGGGTGTCATCGGAGTGCTTAACTACATTTAGGTCAACTGTGCCTGAGGAATAATACTATTAATGTCTACCTAAAGCCGTCGTCAGCCTGTATTGCTGCGTTAGCAGAACAAATGTACGGTGGCAGCAGCAGACATCGAGAACATCGTTCAAAATTTATCTCACAGTTCAGTTTAACGTTTAGAAAAGCATCCTTTGAACAAAAAAATTGGTTTCGTTTATAAACACTCGGCGTGGACTACTACTGTGCGCTTAGGCGCTTCAAAAATCAAGCATAGGTAAAAATATGTAAATAAAACTTTGTCAAAAGCGAACGTTTTAATGCGAATTTGACAGGCTTAACTCACCTACCCTGTAGTATATGTCTGTGTATTGAAGACACTGAATTAAGGTTACTTTCAAACTTGACAACCCTACAATGTCGCAGTGGCAGGGCAATATACGAAAGAAAAACTACTCGGAAAGCCATGGCGGTACTGGGTAGGTGTATTTTTGATGTTTTTGTCAAGATTATTGTTTAAAAAAAATACAGTGAATCATCCTATTTTACAACGAAAAATTAGACAGTATGTTACGTACACCACATACGACTAAAATTGAGGTGATCGTACTATTACTGATTGTATAAATGGTACCCTAACATTTATCTTAATGGTAATATTTCTTACTACGTGTGTTGTCATTCTCCTTCCCACGAGGCCCAATTTATAAAAATTATTTACAATGCCCTCTACTTGTTTGACGTGCTGTTCCTCTTTGTATACCATGTACATATTATTTTACTTATGGTAAACTCAGGCGGACTAAAGTGGTTCATAAGAAATACAATGACATTATACTTTGATGAAATGTCAGTATTGCAACGATACCGTTTAATCAACGCCTGATAGCTTCTGGAATATGCCGATAGATACAAGCGATGTTGTGTATTTGCCATTGCAAAACTTGCAGGCGCCGCTGCTTTCACCGTATGTGACTATGGTCTACTGTGTGTTTTTACCATAATAATTATGAAAACGGAATATTCTGATGAAATTTATTAATTAATAATAATGATAATAACCTTTGGATTACAGTTTTTTAGTTTGTGAATGCTCCCTATCTGGCCGTAAGATAATTAAAATGTAAGTATTAAGTAAAGACAGTGGTATACTTTCTAGATACTCATTTATTAAACATATATGTGTAATATATAGAGTAGCAGGCAGTAGCAGTGAGTATTACTGCGTTTCGGTTTGGAGGGGTAAAGGTGCTTGAGAAATGTTTTATATTGTTTAACTAGTATTATAATGTTTTTCTACATCATAATACAACATAAGTAATGGGTTATGCAGAAGTACCTAATGGTTACCTGGCCAATTGTTATAAAGTTTGCAAAGTACCTACTTATTGATACGCATGATTTATAAATAAAATAAGTTTTTAATACCTATTAATACATAGTTAAATAGTAAGTAATAGTCATTGACTTACAATTATATGGACGTCGAGTCCGCGCTAAACAGTGTCCGAACTTATAGGGCGTTAAAATCGTATGCAGAGCGTCATTCACACTTTAGTCTTCGTTTGTTCGACTGACAGCGAAGCAAGCAAAATTAGACAGTACTGCGATGACATTACAATTTAAATTCAACGTTTTAGCTTTTTCATATTCCTTTACATGTCACTACGTTTAAATAGGTTGACTTGGGACATTTTTTTCGTGGTTTCTGTATTAGACCCGTCGTCCATTTATTTGTAAGTCAATGGTAATAGTAGACAAAAAATATGAATGTGGCGTGAAGTATATAGCACGTAAATCATCTATGATTTCAGTGTCAACTTGCTTAAAATTGCGCACGAACTTTGCGCAACTAAATGTAGGTATTATAGGCCGATTCTACTACTATTTCATTGGAGAAGTAGCAGTAGAGCTCCTTGAGTTCGTCCAAGGTATTACTGCCACCTTACCTATTTCTGCCGCCAAGCAGTAATGTCAGCATTACTGCGTTTCGGTTTTGTAGGGTGTTGGTGAAATTACAGGTATATGGGACTTGCCAACTTATATGGTGTACTCAGGGTGACGCGCGCAGCGGCAGTGCCCCACAGAACTTTGTGATTTAAAGCTGAGTGGCATTGCAACTGTTATTGACAGGCGTGTCGCTTATCACCAGGGCACGACTTGTTCGTTCCGTCAATTGGTATTATAATAAAAAATAGAATACAGGAGTAAAAAAGTCAGTCGGCTCGTTGAAGCATATGCCATAAATTGCCCTCCGTATACTGTACACAACTAGTGTAGATATTCTTTAAGTTACCATGAAAGGTTAAGTTAAATTGTAAAAAAAATATATTAACAGAACATCTAAACCAGGAATTACAATTAGAAGAAATAATATTTAAATTAATGTTACTAAATATTTACATTATTCTGTAAGTTATACGACCATATACACTGTATGTAAATAAGCACCTGCATTCTGTGTAAATTCTCTGTAAAAATAAGAGTTTTTAGTTTTTATCACCATATTGAAACAATAGATACGCTGTTTTTGATGATAACATTCATCGCCCCAAAACTTTTACATTTTTGACGTCATCGAAGAGGTGAGATCGACTCACGTCAGCATTAGGGCTTTCAGTCTTGCTGCATTTCCAAAAAAATCGAGATTCGGTACGGTCCGGAAATTCCGAGAAAAACGAGACTTTTGAGAATATTTCAAAAGTAGCTTTTCATAATTATTCCATTACCTATTAGGCAGTCAAAACATGATTTTAATTAACTTTTATATTAACTCAACTCAAGTTATTTTTACATTTTCATAGTGGTAAGGCACAGTGTGTTTAATGTAGTTTCAAAGAGTACCTGATTTTATTATAATCGTTCTTCAATCTTAACATATTACACTAAGCTCCATTTTACCGTGTTGCCGTGTCCATGTAATCAGAATTAAAAATGACTGTTGGCTTAATACATGTTTTAATATTGTTAATAAAATGACTTAATAGTCCGAAGTCTCGATAGTCCTGAGACTGAAAACATCGGTCTCGTGTCTCGAAAATGCCAAAAATTTTGGAGACTGAGTTTCCCGGGTTCATCCGTTGTCTCAAAGTACTACTAAAGAAGAAGAAAGAGATGTGATAATTTAATATTGTAAAACGCTTACTACACTACCTGATTTCAAAATTTCTAACTTTAACTTAGGGATGTGTTATAGACGTTAGGTAAGGGGGTTGCGCAGGACGCGACCAGCCGTTGGTGGGAGCGCGGACGAGTACAGTAGCGTACTCGTACCCCCACCTACTGCGGAGAGTTGTGTTAGTGCGGTCGGGCTGGTCCCCTGGTTCAAGGTTTAGCCCACTCCCACATAACCCCGGCTTTGCCCGCGCGAGGCCAAGGTATCTGTAAGCAGATTCCCCCGGATTAATAAAAAAAAAGTTACGGTCCGTAATTACGGCGACTTATATGCAGGGCCTTTGAAAGTGTAATAATAGTAGTGTACTCGTAATAAGTATTTAAGTAATTGCTCATCAAAAGTGACGTATCGTATCGTCATCTGAAGTCCGTCCGTTTAGAGCTGTGCAGTGCATGTGAATAGTTCAGTGAGTGACCAGCAGATCGAAATTTTACGACTTAGACTTGCAGTAAATAATTGGAAAATGAAATACCTTTGTAAATGTTTCATGCCACTTATTGAATCTAACCTTAAACAATGACTACTCCCTTATTACACGCTATATTTGATAGGAACTCATTAGCCTAAGTGATTTTTACAAAACTGACTACAGCGATATCATTGTTGTGTGTTTATTTGTTTCATAGTCTTATATGATGTCAAAGGGTTGAACCGTTCGCGTTTTTGCACCAAATGAAAGAGTTGAAATTTTGAATTCTGTTTCATGGTTTATTGTGACATAAATAAATTCCACAGACTTTACACAACGATACGAACATTAAGACATTTAAAATAAAAAGAAAATAATCCATCTGGAACGTTTACAAAGATTCTGGTAGTAATAAAATTAGGTAATGGTATCATCAGATATTTTGCTTTTCAAAGATAAAAATAATAATAATAACGCACACACTCAACATAACCCCGCACTAGGGAAACCCTGTGTCGCGGGTGCCATGTACACATAGACAACCACAAATTACACCCAAACTCACGAGAGAAATATATGTACGTCATACAAATATTTCTCCCGGCCCGGGAATCGAACCTGGGACTTCTGCGTGGCAGCCTTTTTGTTGAGAAGCTAAGTTACACGTGGCATTACCCTTGGCGGCACAAGATGCACCGAGCACCGCCGCGCTGCGATACGTTCCACCGCGCGGCTTTACTGTCTTGTAATTTTGCATTCCAAATATATATATTACATTACAATTGTCTCGTGTATCGTTACTTCATTACTTATATTACTTGATTCGGATTTGAGCACTTTTGAAAGCCCGACAATTACCCAAAGAATATTTGACTATGAACAAACATACCAAGAAAGTAAGGTACTTTTGACACTCGTTTTTCTTCATTGTGGTTGTTTTTTTATTGCTTTTTTGTAATTGACAGTGATACGTAATAATACAATACAGAACATCTTTAAATTATTTTTATTGCCTAACAAAACATACATAAAGATAATAATGAAGTAACTAAGTTTCAATTATAGTCAATTTATATAAATTTCACTATAAGTGATCACCGA